AAAGAGACAGAGAAAGGCAAACAGACAGACAGATGAAGAGGGGCCGGGGAGAAACCTCCAGGCCCAGAAGAGAGAAGGGGTGAGAAGCAGAGCTTGAGCTTCTCTGATAGGCTGTGAAAACATGAAGGAAATGCAGTGGTCCAAGATGACCCCATCTCCTCCCGGCTTTTGAGTCCATAAACTTCAGGTGGCGCTAAACTGCTTCACACATCTGTCATGGGCACCAAGTCAAAGAAAAAAGCCTTCCTTCCATCCAGTTCCCATTCCTATGTGCCACATTGGTTTGGGCTTTGCTCTGACAGTATGGCCACCACACATGTCCCCCTACACACACACACACACACACACACACACACACACACACACACACAGGCTCACACCATAGCAGGAAAGTGAAGGTCAGGACCTCCACTGAGTGACCTGCCTTTGTTGCTGAGGGATTTGTCACAGTAGAGACAGCAGCAGTCACCCTGTGAACAGTGACCACACTGCTGACTGAGCCATGTGAGAACAGGGGTGATTGAGTCTTGTTCTGCTCCCTGTAAGTGCACCCATCTTAAAGCTGAAGAAAGATTTTTGAAAGAACACATTTTCACTGATTTCTAATAATGCCAGGTGCAGAGTGGCAGATACAGCCTTCAGTGTGGGTGCAGCAAACCATTGTTCACATGAAGAGGGAGGCCAGTGATTGTCAGGTTTAACCTCTTACCAAGAAATAGGTCAGCTCCTAACCAAGGGCATAGCTACAAATAAATGCAGTCAACCCTCTCATTTCCACGGGGCAGAATGTACCCTGGGAACATTTATTTCCATAATTGCTTGCTCCACACTCAATATTTGAAGGTCACAGAGTGGAGGAGAAAAGAAGATGTGAAAAAAAAAGAAAGCTTCAGAGACCAGGGTCCAGGACACAAAAGTTTTCAGTAAACAGGAGATGGCAGAGATAACACCAGAACAGAAGAATCCGGAACTTCAAGTTTGAGAAAAAGAAAGACCATGAAATTGGGAAGTTCAGCTCTTAAAGCAGAAGCCAGCTGCTGCAGGGTAGTTGATAAGGAGTACTGATAAAACAAAACTGCTACTACTGTTTATTTTTAAGAGAGAGAGAGGGAGAGAGGAGGAGGAGGAGGGAAGGAAAGAATGAAAGAGAAAAAGGAAAGAAAAGAAAGAGAAAGGAAAGAAAGAAAGAAAGAAAGAAAGAAAGAAAGAAAGAAAGAAAGAAAGAAAGAAAGAAAGAAAGAAAGAAAGAAAGAAAGCCTATGCTCTGAAAATTCCAGGGCAAGAGGGCAGATTCAAAGCAAATCTCAAGCAGATAGAGAGATCTTATTTGCTGGCTGTCCTGCTCACTTCATCTATACGCCCTGTGCTTATTAGACTGGCCAAGGACCTTGCCAAGCAGAACAGAAGTCCCCTCCCCCAAGCCGAGCTCTCTACATCATCAGTCCAGTTTCCTGTGTCTCATTCTTCATGAAGTAACCTTGGGCCATAATGGGTTAATTAGTTAAACTATCCTAATTTGCTAATTGGTTCTTATGGCACTTATTTGGGGAAAATTATACATTAGTAATCACTCCTTGACTATTTGACAATGACTGAGTCACTTAATATCTTCAGGCTTCCATTTCCTTAGCTTAATTAAAATAACGGGGTGAACATAAAATCAAAGGCATGGGGTGATAGTGAAAATCCAGGAGGGCTCCCAGGGGCCATTTGTGAGGCAAGGTAGGAGAGATGGAAGAGTGTCTGAAGGAAATGAATATAGCAGCAAAACTGCCTGAGAGACTTCAAGCTGAGCATAATTATTACTGCATCCTCCAGGGGTAAGGAAGAGCCATGCAAAATGTCCCTGAGGGGCTTGGACTTCCTATTATGTTTATTAATCATCTTGATGAAAACGGAGAGTCTGCATTGATTAAATTCACTAATGATCCTAAACTGAGCAGGGGAGTAAATTCCAGAAAGGATGGATTTATAAGGTAAGCGCTAATATTAATCAGCTCGTCTTCATGAAATGGGTGGCAATAAATGAAATAGGATTCGCAGTAGCAAATGGCAATGAAGTATACCTGGGAGGGAAATATAATGAGGCCAGGTCCAAGCCAGGAAGCAGTTATTTTGGAAATGGTAAGAGAGCGGGAGAGTGGAAAATGAGTAATACGTTAGAAACAAGCTCCACGTAAACTCTCAAGATGGATTAAAACCTTACTCTCAGTGCTTTGATGATGAATATTGGAGAGTGGAGTCACAAAAATGGCAGTTAGCAGCAACCAGGGAATGAAGTGTCACATCTACGGGCTAGGGGACTGAGGCCCAGAAAGGTTACTTGTTAGGAACTAGGTCAGAGTAATAAAACCCAGATTAGCATGCTCCTTCACTCAGTCCCCCGTCTGGTGGCAGACTATCACTCCCCCTTACAACCTGAGTTTATTCTCGGCATCCGCAGCACTGTACTGTGCTCTCTGATTATTTTGCCATCTCTAACTTGGGCCATTGAACCACACACTGCCAGAGCCACAGCTAAAATCCAGATCTGATTTTATCTACTGCTGCTTCCTCACCCTCTTAAGTTCTAAAGTGTCAATAGTCAACACCAACTATAACTTCAAGACTCAAGCACTCAGCAAACAATACTGACTTCTTAGCCGAGATTCTGACCTTGGTCTCTACCATACTCATCTGAGGTCTCTTGGTCCATATTCATTTTTTTTTTCAAATTTGTTTAGGTTGCAATATAGGGACAACAATGAGAAACATCAGTAGCTTCAGGCCAATAAGAGTTGTACACTTGAGAAACACATAAAACACTTTGTAAAAGGAATCCATGGAATACAATATGCAAAGCTTCTGCTACAGGATTTGATAAAATTAATAATCTTGTTTCAAAATCCCTGAGACTAATGAGTCTTGGTTTTCTCTTGGGGCACAGAATAAGTTTTATTTGTGCAAATGACATGTTTTTTTAGAGCGGTCCTATGTGTACCAGGTCAGTTTAGTTCAGCCGGGGAGAAAGGGAGAAGAACATTCACCTCGTCAAAATTATGAGGTAGGTAAGGCTGTCCATCTTTCAGTTCCCCATACCCCACTTTCAGTTCCTCTCCCTGGGAAGCTCACGGTGCTGCTCCTAGCAAACACACACACACACACACACACACACACACACACACACACACACACACACACACACACACACACACCAATGCTGCCAGGCACTGAACACGGCAGTGTGGGTTGTGTATTGAACAACTGTAGGGGGTGCCACGGGAATTCGAGGCAATGTTCTCAGCCTCCTTACAGACCCAGATCAGTGTTCCACCTCTCAAGCCCTTCCGTCATTCCTCTCTCCCCTGGAAATGAACCTGATAACATCAGTTCTGACTCACCACCACACAGGCTAATGGTTCGCTGCCCAAGAATTTCCGGAGGACCCACCCTGTAGCCCAAGTGAGTGAATTACTTTAGTAGAAAATTTTAGTATGTGCCTGACATAAATTTCTCTTTAAGTATGCTGTCCCAGTTGTTTTGGAACATCCCTTAGGTCCTGTAAGAGGTAATGTAACCAGCTGTAACCACCAAGTCCTCTATGCCCATCTAATTTGCTAAGCATCTTGCAACATGTAGGGTCCTATCACACCATGACAGAGTGCTAAGAGACTGGGCCCTAGAATACATTAACCTAGGGTTCACCCCATCTCAGAGCTTGCAAGAGGTAAGCCCATCACCCAAATGTTCCAAATATACATCCTTATCTGAAGGACCGGTTTCTTGATAGATTTATCTAAGAGAATATATGAAAATCATCTAGAGTGGTGTTTTGCAAATATCTATGTATACCAGTAATTTCCTTTATCCAAGAAATATACCCCTTTGTCTATGGTTGCTACCCATTCCGTTACTTGTCATGTATGGTACTCATTTTATTTACCAAATAAACCAGTCAATTTGATCACAAATAAAAATAGGTTCAAAACCAACACACATGCCCAAGAGATGTCCAAATTACTATCTGTTAGGCTAAAGGTTCAGGGATGGATCCAGGTTTCATGGACCTTGAGATTATTTAATTTTAAAATCTTTTAAAAAAGGAAACAAATAAATTCATACCTGATTATGGCAAAATTATGGTGATGGGGACCTTTCCAGGGCCTAGAAATGAGGGGCAAAAGAGGATGGGCGTGTTTCCAAAGGTTAAAGGGAACAGTCTTATGATCCACAACTTGGCATCTTGACTGAGCTGCAACGTGAATACTAACACGGCATAAGACCAAACATAAAGAAATAATTATGCATTAAATCCACAGGCTCTGAGAAAGATGGAGGGTCATCAATGTCAATTTTGTAGTTTTAAAATTATACTATCGGTTTTACAAGATGTTGCCATTGGGAGAAATGAGGTCAAAAAAAAAAAACAGATTGTATTTCTGTTTCTTTCCTCAGCTTATGAACCTGCAATTATCTGAAAATAAAAAGTGTACTCTAAATAATTAGATAGGGGCTGGGGAGATGCCTCAGCAGGTAAGAGTGCTTGCTGTACAAGTGTAGGGGACTGAGTTCAGATTCCCAACATCCATTTGAAAAGCTGGGCATGGTTGCACAGGTACCTGTAAACACAACGCTGTTGAGCACAGAGGTCTGAGGACCTCTGGTGCTTACTGCATACCAGCCGAGCCCCAAGTTCAACAAGAGACCCTGTCTCAAAGGAACAAGGCAAGGAATAATCGAGCAGGATGCTGACATCCCCCTTTGTCTTGCTCGAACACACATACACAGTGCACATACCTGCATACACACACATACATACATACACACACACACACACACACACACACACACACACACACACACCCTCTCATACAGCACACACTCATGCATGCACACATACACGCACACTATGGATGGAAGTAAAAACAGAAAAATCTAAATAAAAATTCTGGAACAAAATAAAATAGGCCTGGGAAGGGCTTGTGCTAAAGAGACAGTGGGACCATGAGGCTTCCTAGAACACAGGCGTCTACTTGAAGACACAGTGGATGGATAAAAGGTGAGGCAGAGTGAAGATGAAGCCATTTCAAGACCTGAGTGAACATGTGCACTCACCAGGATCATCTGTTGCCATTGCTTTTAAATACACAATAGGGACTCACCCACATAAATAGGCTGACTCCACTCGCCCCAGCTTCCAGACACTCTGCAAGACGAGCTCACAACTGCTCTCACTTGAATGGAGTATGTAGAAACGTCATCAATTTTTGAGACGAATTTGTTGGTGGCCAGTTTTTCCATCTAAATGGGAAAAATTAACATTATAATAATGTCTAGACATATAATTTTTGCAGAATACCAACTTGAGAGGGTCATATGCAGGTAATGTGGCTCATTATTTAGCAAGTAATCTAAAATCAACAGGGCGTAGTCATGAGTGTATTCTACACTGTTTCAGTGTGAGGTCTTGGCAAGTTACCCTGAGGGGGGAAAGTGATGTTATAACTAAAATATATAAAAGGGTCAGCTGAAGGACCAGGTGAAGCCATGTAGGAAAATTCATGTTTCATATGGAAAAATTGGAGTCACCTTCAACAATATACATAATCTCTGGTACCTTGTCCTTCCACACTGGTAAGTCCTAGTTCTAAACAGCACGTGGTTTGTGCCTGTTCAGCCCTGCCCAGTGACCACAGCCCGTGTGGGTTTTCTGCTCTATTGCTTGGATGGTCCAAATACTTCACATCCCTGTACCCACTTGGTCTCCCTCACATCCAGCCTATACATTGCAGCCAGGATTACCCTTCTACCCCGTAAATGCTACACTTGTCAACCATGTAAAATCCTTTGATGCTGCTCATTGCCCATGGTCCTGGTTTTAAAGTAGATGCTCTTTGGCTTCTAGTGAAAGTCTCACAGAGCCACTCTGAAATTGCTATGTTAAGTACAGAGCTATAAGTCTAATATTAGCCTTGTGGTGAGGCCAGCTCGGTCACTACCATTTGGCTGGAGGAAGCATGCACTCTCAAGCCTCTGGCCTATTCCTTTTGCTCACACGCCTGGCAGGCACAGCGTGGCTGTGGACTGGTACAGGTCAGGAAATGCTGGTTGCTGCTCTATGATAAGATCAGTGCAGACAGTGAGACCACAGTTTAGAAGTGGAGAGCCGTTGGACGTTGCCGTGACAACATGATCAATTGGTTTGTATTTTCATATCTTCGGTTGTATTTGTTTTGTTTTTGTTTTTTCCCTAGTTGATCCTTTTTAATGTTTATGAAAGTGCTAATCTATGACAGATTAGAAATTTAAAAGAGAAAGCCGGTCCTTCACAGAGGATATTTTTGGAAACACACACTATGATGTCCTTCTCTCTTTTCCTCAGTAGTCAAGTTTCTGTCTGATGCCCCCAGGCTACATTCACCTCCATGCTGGGGTGGATGACAGGCTGTTTTGTCCCCCCTCCCTTCTGTACTCTGTTGATCTTTCCTATGGTGGGAGGTTCTGATGCCATTTGCCAGGGCAGGACTCATCTTATGTCCACTTATTTTTATTTAATTTATTTTTTGTTGCATTGGTGTTTTGCCTGTATGTATGTTTGTGGGTGGTCACCAGATCCTCTGGAACTGGAGTTACAGACAGTTGTAAGCTGCCACATGGGTGCTGGGAATTGAACCTGGGTCCGCTGGAAGAGCAGTCAGTGCTCTTAACTTTTAGCTTTGTGACTATAAGAAATTATTTGGCTTTTTTTTTGTGGGGGGATGGGGCTTAATAAATTAGGAAACATAATTATGCAACAGTTATTGTGGACAAGGTATAAAGTAACACAATAAAACTCCATGGGTGTAACACATGCCCAGTGCACCATTGTCAAGTGTGCAGGCCAGAAATGTTGAACAGACATGCTGTTGTGCAACCAGACTGCAACACACTTTTCATTTTGCAAGTCTGAAGTTGGTCTCTGTGTGCATGAGAGCCTCTGTTCAATTCCCATCACCTAGTGAGTGATCAAAAATTCACACTCTGGACACTGTTCCCATTAGACAATGGTTCCTCAATTTCCATTGCCCATTTCCTGGCAGTCATTGTACTGCCTTCTGTTTTTACGTGTTTCTCCACCCAGGGCATCTCATAAAGGCAGAATCATATACTATTTGTCCTTTGCGACCTGCTTATTTCACCTTGCTTGCTGTCCTTAGGCTCATTCATATTGTAGCATGTATCAGAATGTCCTTTCAAAGACTGAAGAATGACCCTTTGTACACATTAATTTATATCCCATGTTGTTTTTCTATTCATATTCTGTAGGGGTTTAGGCTTGGCTTGTTTGTTTTCAGGTAAAAATCTTGCTATGTAATCCAGACTAGCTTCAAATTTACAGCATTCTGCCTCTCTCTGCCTCCCTCCTGGGTGCTGGAATCACAAATGTATTCCAGCAAGCCTGACTCTAGTCATCGATTAATGGATGTGGGGGCTGTTTCAGCTTGTGAGTAATGCTGCTGTGAGCAAGGGTGTCCAAATGTCTTCTCGAGACCCTGTTTTGAAATCATTTGCATGCATACCTGGAAGTAGAATTACAGGCTCTTAGGATAATTCTAACTTCCGGAAAACTTGCCTTCCCGATTCCCCCTACTGTAGCTGCATCATTTGTAGTTTTAGCAAAGCTCTTACAAATGAATTTCATTTTATCCTTCGTAATATTTTCAACTTGAAGTTTGCCTTTTCAAAATAAAACTACTGCAAGATTTGATTTATTTCTGTAAAACCTGGGGCAGATGTAAGTCAACACTGACTTGGTTGGTACTTAAAAACACCCGGAGTAGTCACTACTGAAACTTTTGAAGCAGTGGCTCTCAACTTGTGGGTTGCAACCCCTTTGGCAAACTTGTATATCCGAAAATATTTACATTAGGATTCATAGTAGTAGCAAAATTACAGTTACTTTGTAGCAATAAAAATAACTTTATGGTTGGGGGTCACCACAACATGAGGAACTGTATTAAAGTGTTGCAGCATTGGGAAGGTTAAGAACCACTGTTTTAAATGGTCCACAGATAATGGATGTCTATCATGGAATACTGGAAAGATATTAAAAATTACCTGAAAGTAACCATTCTTTGGGTTGTAAATTTTCAATTCGTAATTAAAGCAATGGACTGGAAAGGCCGAAACTGGTTTCTCCCATTGGATATAAAGAGAAGTTTCTTCAATCTCAACTGTCACATTCATTGGAGGATTCACTTGATCTAGGTAAGAGAAGAAGAGGTAGGTCAGCGGCAATTCTGTGAAAACACTGATCAGGGCTGACAGCCCCAAGCCACCATTTCTAAGATATGCTTTTTTCAAGCTTTACCATTAGTTCTCAATCAACCAATCTCAAGCCACAGGAAGCGGGTGGCTTCCCATGAGGTTCTTGGTGTGGCTTGCCGAATAGATTTACACATATAAAGAACAGAAATCACTACTCCACATGGAAGGGATTGATTGGCACCCTTCTCCTGGCAGCTCATTGCAAGGTGTACCCAGCATCCCTTTAACTTTCCAGGTTAGACTGTGCTCATGGTCAGAGCAGGGACCATGTGCCCCACATCCATTTCCCAGCAGAGGGATAGCTCTGGGAAAATCACTTCTCCTTTCTGGTTTCAGTGTTTATTTTTTGTTATTGTTGTCTTGTTTTGTCAGATAGAACAAGAAGCTTCTGTATAAAAAGAACAGATTGAGCTAAATATATCTTTACAGGAGTAAGCACTTTCATACTAGCATCAGAGACCTGAGTTTGGATTCCCAGCACCTAGGTGAAAACAGCTGTAACCTCAGAGCTGGGGGTGGTGGTTGGGTAGTAGAGGTAGGTGGATTCTAGGGCCTCACTAGCTATCCAACCAGTCTAGCAAAAATGACAAGTTCCAGATCCAGTGAAAGTTTCTGATTCCTACAAAATAAAATGGAGAAGCAATTGGGGAAGATATTCTGATGTTAATCCCAAGCTTCTGCATGGACAAGCACACCTGCACAAATACATACATAGTACACATACACATATGAGAAAAATGAAAGAGAAAGTGGGAAAGAAAAGACAAGGGTGGAGGAGAGAAAAGACCTGTGGACATATTGTTTAAAAGTCTAGAGATGAGTCCAAACCACTACAAAGAACCAATAAGGATTTGAGACGGTTAGCTTTGAAAGAAAAGCCACATGATGGAAAACCTGAATGAATACCTTTGGATTACAGAAGAACCACACCTTGGGGAAAAGGCTCGGAACTGTTCTGGGTACAATCTATTACAAGACCTGTGGACATACATTTCATGGAAGAAGCCAGAACAGATGAGTACTGCCATGACTTTTCTGGGTGCAATCATTCTCAACTGGGGAGAACTCTACCCTTAAAAGGATATGTTTAAGATCTGACTTCATGACAGCTCAGGAGAAGGAACAAGTAGGGAAGATAAGAGTTAGTTAACTAATAGATAGGGGCCAAAAAGACCACTAAACATCTTCCTATTCTCAGGACAGTCCCCTACATTGCCAAGTCATGCAGCAATTATGTAGAATTAAAGTTGGGATGCCTATCTTAGTTTTTTTTCCCTCATATTGATTGTATGATTGTTCAATATTTAAAAGGTAGCAAGACCCTTTACAATGCAAAGATTCTACTATTCCATTATTCCAATGTTGGCATTAGTGTCTTACCAATGGCATGTGGAGTGAACAGCTGATCAAAGGGCTTGATTGCAGCATGCTTGCTTGAGCCATTAACATGCACTGCAAGCTGCTCAAACCCTTTGCTGTTGATAAATGTCCTGGGAAACCAGCATGCAGTATTTCTGTCCAGTGCATCTCTGCTGTATTCCTGGCATTCTTCAGTCCAGACACCAAACCTAAATTGCAACACCCATGAGTTTTTATAAGGGAAGAGGAAATGGATAATTTGCATAAGTAAAAATAGATACTGACCTGTAGTATAGGAAATATTGTGTGTCCTCAGGGGCATCCTTGCCAACAAGCCAGGTGCAGCGAAGAGACACTTGGTATGGCCTTAAGTGGGTGTGACTACTCACAACAGTGTTTGTGGTACAAGTTAAATTCATAACCGAGGTTCCAGAAGACCCTAGGGGACCACAGATAAAAAGAACAAAACATTGCCATGATGGTTTATGAATTTTGTGCTTTTGTTTGAGATACTATTGATTGTGAGTGACCACAAACATCCAATTATAGAAACTCATTTGCAAAGGGCAAATTTACTGGAGAAATGAAACTAAAGCTATAAAGCCTTGGGTTTTGACATGAAAGAACTTTTCAGCTATTGTAGATGAAGCTGTGGAGGTGTATCAGTGAGACGGATGTCTGAAAGTTCAAGTCTAGTGTCATGTGTCCAACAACTTGAGCACTCTAATATTATACTTGTCAGTACCTGACTGTGAGGGATTTCCCCAAATGCTGCCTGAATTCCAGTTTTTCCTGCTGTAAATGAGAGGTTAGGTCAAGGAATCTCTCCAGAATCCCCTTCCCTCTTAGATTATATGAGCCATTCCTTAACATCTATATCTCAAGAATCACATGGATTACTGCTCGGGGATGCATTTTGGCAATACCCCAAGATCTTACCATTATATTAGAGACCAATGTACAACAGCTTGCCAGTCTCCTTAACATACCATAACTTAAAATCTAAGATTCTAATCTTTGTTTGCACTGGACTTCCCCCCAAATTATGTTTGTGCTACCCAGAACACTCTATCAAACAAAGAAGGGGGAAAAGTATTTTCGAGGCTAGGGTCAGGGATAACCTTCCAAAAGAGGAAACCCTGAATAATGGAAGGGTTTCTATTTTTTCTTAAAACAGCTATAGACTAATTTTTATCAGTGTCATCAAGTGTCTTTCATTGGACAGAGGGAAAGGGTGAGAGGAGAGAGCTTCCTATTGCCATTTGGAATTTGGAGACAGAAAACTGGTTAGTTTGCCTTATGATACATACATGCATATTATATTTGGTATAGACACATATGTATCTATAAAATTGTGCCTCTGTATCTGTAGTATTTGTTCCAGAACTTTCCTCCCATACTAAAACCGTCAGATGCTCAGGTCTCTTATATGATGTCATCTTGCATATGGCTTACACAGCCTCTGGATTAGTATAAATCCTTTCTAGAGAACTTGGAATACTTAACGTAAGTGCTTAGTAAATAATTGTTAGACTGTGTTATTTAGAATAATGGCATGAAACAATCTGTTCATGAAAAGTATAGATGCTTCAATGCTTTTTTCGTAGAATGCTTTTGATCCACATTTAGTTGAAAAGATAAATGTGGAGCCTATGGATATAGGGCTTCCCTCCTCACTCTGCACATACATGTGTCCGCATACTAAACATCTGCACAGTCTATGTCATGTCAAAGTAAGTCATCAGTTTCCCAGTTCCAATCCAAGACATAATTCAGTATGGATTTTCACTTGGTTAGTGGCATAAATAATACTTGATTAGTGTAAGCATGTATTGGGCGGTGGTACTAAGGGAATAATTAGAACTGCAGAAACTTAACACTAAAAGGAAAACCACATAGAGGAAGTTCAGTTGTTCAGTAAATGTGAAATAATGGCTTAATGCAAGGTACACAATGGCCCATATGTATATTCATCTATATTCCTTGAAGTACACTCCTTCTTTAGGGGCAAACCACTGGAAAATGATGAGTAAATGCACACATCTGTGTTGTTACCAACACAGTTCAGGGTTTTTTGGTTAAGTGTGCCCCAGGTTCTATTTGTTAAAGACTTTGCTGTGCAGCTCATGGTGTAGTTGGGAAGTGGAGAGTCCTGCCTGAGTTGGGGTCTTTGGGGAGGTCTTTGGAGACACATCTGTAAAGGGGATAGACAGTGGGGCCTTGCCCTTTTTATGCCTCCCCTTGCTTCCTGGCTCTAGACCTCTACCACCTGCTTCTGGAAGGATATGCTGTGTTGTTAAATGGACTAAAAATAGGCCTGACAGGTCATGGGTGGAAACCCCCACCCAAACCAGAAACCAAAATAAGTGTATTATCTTACATATTTGTTATAGCAAAAAGAAAGCTGACTAATAATACGGGAGGCAGGATCTTCTTCTCCAATGATGTGGCCAGAATAAAGATTTGAAAAACACTCATAGATATGGTGCTAAAACATATATGACTTAGGAAGTCACATATCCCAGGGTCTGATGGCCTGTCTCCTCCTTTTTTTTTCCACCTTGTGTTTGTGTCACTCTGTGTTAAAATGTTTAAACAGATCTATCTCTGCTTATGTGTATCAGAAGCCGCAGCTCCCAGTGTAGATACAAGGGTGTGCTTGCAGGGGTGCCACAGGTGGACCTGGATGGCCTTATGAAAGCTATGATTGGAATGTGGGTGCTATGAAAGATTAAAAGGAGATTGGAAGGTGTGGTGCCAGGCTAAAGAAAAAAGGCTCTTTCCCATTCTGACAAGTGTAAAATATGAAATTTAGATGTCCCATGTCTCCTTTACCTGATGGAGCTTTGAGTTCAGCAGAAACCCAACTGCTGGCCAGGGAAGAGTGGCTTCTCCTTAGGATGCTCCTCACACTAGCTGCAAAGCCGTCATGAAGGGGGGCCACATATTTGCTTTCAGTCTTCCTGGTGTTATACTAAAATAAAACCCGCCAGTCATGGTATGTAACAGAAAACAACACCAATCAAATAGGCCTTTTACTCCACTTTGAAAATGATAATAAATAAAATGGTATGAAGTAATTTTCTTAGAAAAGGGGCATCATAAAATTAATATAGTTTCTCAATGACACATGAACATATTCCTCTTTTAATAACAAACACCATATTGTAATTAAAGCTCAAGTTGCCTTTGATTCTCATCATTAATGCCAGTCTCCTCTCTAGAAGCAGCTTCTGGACAGAAAATTCTTTAAAATTTCATATTTACTCCAAAATAGTTAGTACAAATCACATGTTCCTTTCTTTCGCCTTACTACAAGTATGATGAGCAGTAGGTGTGTTAGCACATTCCTAGCATAAACCTGAGAAATCAACTCAAGACCTAAGGATATAAACAAGGTAGTAAATGAACTTGGCCTTCACCTTGGGTTTTCTGACCCTGTACTGCTCCCTTGTACCATTTCATTCATGACTTTCTTCTAGTTTTATTGACATTTTAGGAGATAAGTAAACAGTACTATCAAATACATTACCCTTCAAAAGTTGGTAAATAGTCTGGGAAGATGCCTGAATTAAAAAAGTCACTGTTGTGTGAGCACAACGACTTGAGTCTGGGTCCCCAAAACACATGTAAAATTCAAGGCACATGACAACATGCACCTGTAACCCCAACACTGGGGTAGTGCGTTGAGGTGGATCCCTGAAGCCTAGGCAAATTGATGATCTTGCAATTGAAGGAGAGGCTTCTCTCAAAAACAAAAGGTCTTGGAGAGGGATCAAGGAAAGTGTCAACCTGTGGCCTTCATACCCCTGCATACCTAGCCACCGCGCATGTACACAGACCTACACTAACAAGTGCATAAAACACATGTACATCTCTCTCTCTCTCTCTCTCTCTCTCTCTCTCTCACACACACACACACACACACACACACACACACACACACACACACACACACACTAGAGAGAGGGGAAGGGAGGAAGGGAGGGAGGGAGAGAGAGAGCGAGAGGACTTTCCTCGAAGTAAAGCCTTCTAGGCTACTGTTTCATTTTGAATAATAAGCATGTGTCTAATTCACTTTATGGATCCTACTGGTAATACAAGAAGATCTTTAGTAATTAGATGTTCTTTATGAAGAATTTCACTTCATGAAGAAAAATGCAGTTTAAAAAAATGAATATTCACTCTCAGTTTGTTTGGTTTTTGTTTTGTTTTGTTTTGTTTTCATCAGACCCAGCACTTACCTCATCTTCTTGTGGAACACTTATTTTCACATGATATTGTAGATCAACATTTCTTTGCTCTTGGTCAGGATTTGGGGCCCAGTGTAAAAGAACTTGAGCCAATCCAATGGCTTTAACAGTAAAATTGACAGGTGGTCGAAGTAAAACTATTGATTCAAAAAACAACAACAAACAAAAATGATACAATGTTCAATTGTCCATTTTGTGTATGGTGCTGGGGGTGAAACTCAGGGCCAGGGAATATGGGACAGATATGTTACCACTGAGCTATATTCCCAGTCTTTAACAGATTTTAATTATTTTCTTAAGTAACATACTGGTTTGTTGTGGCTTATTAGAATATATGATACAGAAGTAATTTGGCAAAAGTTTCTTTAAAATGATTGCTAGTTCATCATCCAGGCACTACCTGTAACTTTCACATGGTTTTATTGAATATGAACAATCTACCATATTGTTATTCATTAAAGGTGTAGTTTTTACACTAAGCATCATAATCAGTGGATGGGATGTGATAACAATTTCTGGACTTCTAATCCCTCTTCTTTCCTTTTCACATGAGTATAGAAGATAAATAGAACACACTGGGGGTTGGGGGCAGCATATATCAAACATGAAAACAATTGTCTCATGGACATCTAGTTTCCATTGCATAAAAGTACCTACTTATTTTTAAGATCAATGATTCACGATGTAAAATGTATTTATTTTTCATTATTAGCCATATCTAAAGTATTTGAGTAGAAAAAAAGGATTTTCTTTCAAGATAAAATATTTTCTTTAATTAAGGACTCAGTACTCATTGTAGAAATACTGTAAAACACAATGAGCAAAAAGAAGAAAGTAAAACTTTTCAATTCATGTCTTATTCTGTTATGTTTTTTCTGGCGTGTGTCTAAACAACTTCTTAAAATTTTTCATCCAAACTCGGGCACCACTATACATTGTGAAACACATAATCTTTAATTTATTCATTTTCTAAATTGTCAGTGTTTTCCATTGACCTTTAAAAGCCCTTCATAACTCCGCACCTGTGTTTGACATGCAAGGGTTTCCAGGACCGCCTGTGTAGTTCACCTTTATTCCAACAGCCACTGGCTACTGTGGCTTTTCAGATCTAAATTAGCTAACTAACCCCCAAAGTTCATTGCTCTAGCTGCACTGTGTACATTTCAGCTGCTTGGTGATTATGTGGACAGTGGCTATGTGCTGGGCAGTACCAAGACAGAATACCATCTTCATAGAGAGTTCGAGATAGAGCTGGGCTGGTGCCATCAAACCGTTTTCCTCTCTTAACCTCCATCATCATACTAAACCCTTAGATCAACGAGTTTCAGGGGCAAAAAAGAAAAGAAAAATGGTAGAAGTTTATTCTTGCTTCTTGTGAGGCCTTTTGTGAAATTCCTGGTGGAAATGGGGGTCCTAAACATGGCCTCTAGAGGCTGCCTTCTTCCACGACGCCCATATATACTCTTAGAATTGAATTTTTCACTGAAGTATAGAATTTACATTTCTGCCCACACTGATTTCTTAAATCTCAAGAGTTATACTGTTTTATAAAAAACTTCCCAACTGAATGCTTATTTTGGAGAAAATTCCATTACCGTTTTTATAATACACTTTAACAAAAACAGACATTATTGAATAGACAATCCTTACCTTTTTTGTCAGAAAGCAAGTCAGCTTGCAGTGTTGTCCAAGCCCCCACAAGGATTAGTAACATAGGCTGCATGATGGTCAAATCCTAGGGGAAACATGGAAGACAAATTCCAGATCATCGCATTGTCATTTCTAAGGAAAGCTGGCAGCTACTTTCTAACTTGAGATCAGTCAGTGGGTCACCTAGCAACTGCTTATAATCTATCTCTTTTGCTTGCTGGGAATGCAAACATATGGGGCTTTGCTCTTGGGTTGTAGAATCATCTGTTGGGACAGAATGACATGTAAATTAGTAATTAATTGAAAGGTGTGATGTGTCTGGGGCACAATAGGTGCAAAGAGACTTCTGTTTTGACTCACAGAGGGTGAATTAAAGTTCACAATACACACAAGCAGAGATTCCACTAGAGTCCACCGAGCAAACACGTAGCGGTAGAAGAAAAAGAAGAAAACAGCAGACGATTGATATTCAGGACAGTAGAGCAGGCCTCCGGATGGGAAAAGTTCTAAGTAATTAATAATAAATAAACACTACTGATTTCGTTCATATGTTTTTAAATTAGGGGCTTGGTGGTAGAGTGTTACGTAGGAGGTCCTAGGTTTGATCCCACCACCCTTCCCCTTGAAGTCAATGTGACAAGAAACTTACATTGATAACAATTTGTAATGTGAGAAACATAAACTTCCATTTAATGTCTGGAATAAATTGGTGATACTTTGAGTTTGGGGGAAGATGATTTATAGTCTTAAGGACCCAAATGAGAACAGGACAGGGGGCAGACAAAGAACATGATCAGACACTTAGAAAAAGTGTAAGTATTTCTCCCTCCAGAAAACAACTTGACAATGAGATGGGTGGAGAGTAGAATGTTGGGTTAAGGGAATGAGGAAAAGCAGAGGGTCTCAGACCTTGAGTTCAAAGGGGAATGCCACAGCTCCTGCTGGGACCTGTAGATTAGAGAGCTGGAGTTTTCCCAGAGATTTTCTGGAGCTCAACTTTAAGGATGAAAAGTGTGTGTGGCTTCCACCTGGGGTGTGCCTCCTCACTTAAAAAGAAAATTAAGGCATTTATTTATTCATCATGTGTGTGTGTGGCTGTATGAACTTGGGTCATACCTCAATCTTCAGACAACAAAAGATGCTCTTGCAGCTTGATAGTAATTAAAATGACTTACAGGGCTGGGTTGTAGCTCACTAGGAGAGCCTTGTTTAGAATATGAAAGACCTTGCTTAGACCCTTAACACTTTCACAATAAATCATTTAAAAAAAAATCAATAAGAGAAGGTTTTACTTTAAAATGATTTAAATGACTAGACATTTTCAAAGTCTAATTCCAGTGCAGGCAAAGGAAAGAACTTCATTAAATGGATAAATTCTGAAAATTAACTCCAGATACTTTTGCTTCATTATTTAATCTCATCTTACAATATCTTACTTAACATATTGCTATTACTGCCCAATTTGGAGTAATAACACAACAGCCGTAAAGGGACAGCATATAGAAGTCATTCAACTCTTTCTTTCTTTTTTCTTTTTTTCAAATGAACTTTCAGAGTTAGGCCAGTTTTCACCAAAATAATCCTTTTTACTATTTTTATGACATTTCCACTCCATACAAGTGATTTTTCATACCGATCATGATCATGACAATGAAAACAGACATTGTAATAGTCTTCTAAATTTTCAACAAGTCAGACTTTTTATGAGCCAAAGGGAAGCATTTCTAATGCACCAGGCCTGCGAAGTTCAGCTAGAATATCCTTAGTAACAAGAAAGGTAGTGGCTGTTTCAATTATGAAAGCTACGTCTTCAGATGTCAGCGTTTCCCGACATGATGTTTAATATGCCCTATGTTCACTGGTTTTCATTAACATGAGTTCTAGGTCAGGGAAAAAAATCCCTAAAAATTAATACCCTATAGTGACTTTTACTGACTGGTAGAACAGGAAGTGTCTTAACGCAGTGCTTGTAAAAATAACAAACATCTGTTTATCCTTTGCAATTAAATTGTTGAAGTAAATAATGATTCTGCTGAATATCTCAGTGGGGAGGTAATTGAATATTTTATATTAGTAAGCACTCTCCCCTAGAATTTACCTTGTATTCTGATTTTATAGCTGCTAAAAATAGAATTCTCTTTCAAGTTTTATCACTCAAACATTTTTTTTTACTAAGTTTTGGCCATTAATGGCAACATGTTTTTTTTTTTTTTTTCCGTATCTCCTGAGTTTTCTATGCCTTTGGAAAAAAAAAATCAGTGTCCTATGGACAGCACAAAGTGCTCAAATAGACCACAAATATTTCAAAGCCGGGCAGATAAATTTCAGCAAAGGCTGAATGTTCCTGGAGCTTCAACATCTGACTGTTTCCTGTGATTAGCTGGCTCTGTTTCCCCAAACACCTCTAGGCTTCATCTCTGTGTGGCTGCTCAAAGCACATGGGCCCTTTGTAGGAGCTGTCATCTTTGGTTAGGGATAAAAAGATTCAATCTCTTTGGTTAATACATTCAAAGTTACACTATTATCAAATGAGCTATAAATCATCATATTAAAATATAGTTATACAGTAGCTTTCTTTATTTGTGTAATCTCAAGATGACAATATACCTAACTCATTTCTCTTGGATATCAATTATAATGCAAACCAGAGCCATTACATTGCTAAATTAAGATGTAAATTTAGAAGAATAAAATAAATAAAGATTGCCTGCCTACAATTAGAAATACATGCTCTATCCTTGAGGGTGATCAGAAGAAATTTGTTTATGTGACATTTCTGTGAGTAAACTTAGATTTCTTGAGTGCCCTCATTAAAATTTAGAAGAAAACAGGAGTGCAGTCTTTCACATGACAGATTTTTCTAGAAATGAAGTTGAGTCAGGCTTTAGCCATTGATGATGGACTTCCCCAGTGTTCCTAAGAATCAGCCAAATTCTGCTGAAGTTCAGAAATAAAATTTTTCCTTTCCAATTAGGAGCATTCATTTTGCAACCAAAATTATATTGGTAGCCCTATTTTTAGAACCTTTGTGAGTGACTTGTGGTAACATCTAATTCCAAGCACAACCTGAATAGCAGAAATTGAAAAGCCACTGGGAAGATTCATATGCCCTTTTAGACTATTACAAGGAAAGAATTTGTTTCCCTTTTTTTAACCCTGTACAGTATAGTCAGTCATAAAACCCAATTCTTGGATGGGGAGGTGAATATGTAAACCAAAGGATATGTTTAGCTAGGTACACTGTGTTACCCCCACAGTGAAAAAACTGGACATGCTCATAAAAATAGAAACGAGCAACAGGATGACATATGCAACACTTTGTTCTTCCCACTACTGGACTTCTGAATAATTTTCTATAATAGTCCTAAAATATCATCCTTAGGGTCAAGTTGTGGCCAAAAACACAAAACACTCCATAAATCCAGATGCAAATAGATGCCACCCTCAATATTCTGTACAGAGAAGGCATTTGCCACCAGTATCCCAACACTTAAACACATCCTGCCAGTCTCATTTGCCACTAAGTATTATCCACATAGATGCTGCCTCAGTGGTGGACATACCTGTCTATGGACGATCCCTTCAGTTCCACGGGTTCTCAACATTAGAAGCCGAGGACCACAGCTGCCTGTTGTGTCTGATATCCCATCAGAGCCCCAGCACCTAGCACTCTATCGAGCACAGGGCACATGCCTATTAGGCTTGGTCCTGTAAAGAGTGGGAACAAGTCAGTACCCAGCCCTGAGAAGGCCAGGCAGGTCTGTTCAACATGAACTAAGGGACAGCTTAGGTCAGCTGGGACTGCGTGGGGAACACCTACCAAGCCTGGTTCTCTGCGTGCCTTACTTAAAAATTTCCCCACATTGCATTTTAAGTAATGGTAAACAAATGAGACAGCTTGATTTCCAAAACTTTATTATATTTCAAAATGTAAACTTAATAACAACTACATAGATTTATTACCAGACAACTATGGAAGAGAACATATTAACAATAAAGCAGAAATAACAGGTAATGAAATGTTAATTATAATTCATTGAATTCTAATTTTTCCTGTCTTTCCCCTCTCTTTTTCTGTTTCTCTTAAAAAAAATTTTTTTTATTCTTTTCCATCCATTCTTTCCATGTATATGGAATATATATCTTCCTGACCTTAGGTAACTAATTAAATTAGTGAGTATAAAGGCAAGTGAGATATTTCATAAGCTTTTTTGTACATTTTAGGTAAAATGAAAACGTCATGGATACCAAAGAAATTTCAGCAGAAGGCAAAAGCAAAATGCCTTCAGTTATACTATGACATCATTTCCTTATTGTTGTCTCTAAATTTGTAACTTTTGAAATTAACTCTGAAACTTCTTCCTTACAATCTCCAAATAGACTTTATAACCTATTTTCTAAACTCATATATTTTTGAAGAGGTCTTATCACTGGATATTAACTCCTTTAAGTCTTGTAAGGTGTCTACAGAAGCAGAAAACAGATGTCTTCTATTTCCAGGCACACTGACAAGATATAAGATGTTACTTTAACAAGACTCACCTTGGTGTGAAGGAGCGCATCAGATACAGAACCACCACCAAAAATAGAACCGCATAGCCAGGACCTGTCCCGTGAGCTTCTTCAAGTTTGGTGCCCCCAGGGTTTGCTCTGTCTCTGCTGATAACAGGGTTACGAAGTGTTCTGTTTCCTCTTTTCTCTATTGAAACATTGTCTATATGCTTACAAATTATTATTTCTCTTTTCCTGACCCTCCTTTTGTTCGGGGGTCCTGGGTGTGTGTCCGGTCTAGTAAGAGAAAACAGTATTTATCTGCCCCACCAACCCCGCAGTGAGTCAAGCGTTGGATTCCCTTACTGAGAAGTTTGGGTGGCTACGTGATGTAAGCCAGCAGCTGTGAACCTTATCTCTGGGTACACTGTTTGACTTTGTAGCGGTTCTTTATTCTTTCATCATCAGAGCTGTACTGGTTAAGAAGTCACCTGCAGTTTCCTTTACAATAGAAAGGCCACATGACTGTTCTTTGGAGGATGATTCTCAAGAAAGCAACCCACTAAAGAGGCTGGACCCTCAGTG